TGTAATCCCAACACTCTGGGAGGCCAATGTGGGAGAATTGCTTGGGCTCAGGAGTTCAAGACCAGCCTGGGCAACAGAGCAAGACCCCATCTCTCTTTAAAAAAGAAAAAAAAAGAATATTACAGCCAGGCATGGTGGTATATGTCTGTAGTCTCAGCTACTATGAAGGGAGACTAAAAAAAGACAGAACATTCTAAACCCATAGAAAGCAGAAAAAAAGAAATAAAGGTAAGCACAACAATTAATGAATAGAAAATAGAAAAGAGAAAACCAACAAGCCAAAATCCAGTTTTCTGAAAAAACAACAAACCGCTGGTAAGACTGATGGCAAAAGGAAAGAAGGCACAAAAACAAATTAATATTATGAACTAACATATAGCACAGTACTTTTTAAAATGTTATACTGTAAATTTTAGTACTTAGACAAAATGAATAAATTCCTTTGTAAACAACCAAAACTGAAATTAACAAATTGACTAAATATGAAAATGGTAACTAGCCCAAACTGAAATTAATACATTGACTAAATATGAAAATGGTAACTAACCAAAATTGACCAAACATGAAATGGAAATCCTCTATAGTCCTATAAAGTGTAAAAGAATTGAATCAGTAATTAGGTTTTTTCAAAAATAAAAAACCAGAACTCAGAACAAAAGAGCCCACATTGCCAAGACAATCCTAAGCCAAAAGAACAAAGCTGGAGACATCATGCAACCTGACTTCAAACTATACTACAAGACTACAGTAACCAAAACAGCATGGTACTGGTACCAAAACAGAGATCTAGATCAATGGAACAGAACAGAGCCCTCAGAAATAATACCACATATCTACAACCATCTGATCTTTGACAAACCTGACAAAAATAAGAAATGGGGAAAGGATTCCCTATTTAATAAACGGTGCTGGGAAAACTGGCTAGCCATATGTAGAAAGCTGAAACTGGATCCCTTCCTTACACCTTATACAAAAATTAATTCAAGATGGATTAAACACTTAAATGTTAGATCTAAAACCATAAAAACCCTAGAAGAAAACCTAGGCAATACCATTCAGGACATAGGCATGGGCAAGGACTTCATGTCTAAAACACCAAAAGCAATGGCAATAAAAGTCAAAACTGACAAATGGGATCTAATTAAACTAAAGAGCTTCTGCACAGCAAAAGAAACTACCGTCAGAGTGAACAGGTAACCTAGAGAATGGGAGAAAATCTTTGCAATCTACTCATCTGACAATGGGCTAATATCCAGAATCTACAAAGAACTCAAACAAATTTACAAGAAAAAAAAAACCCCATCAAAAAGTGGGCAAAGGATATAAACAGACACTTCTCAAAAGAAGACATTTATGCAGCCAACAGACACATGAAAAAATGCTCATCATCACTGGCCATCAGAGAAATGCAAGTCAAAACCACAATGATATACCATCTCACACCAGTTACAATGGCGATCATTAAAAAGTCAAGAAACAATGGCCGGGCGCGGTGGCTCACGCCTGTAATCCCAGCACTTTGGGAGGCCGAGACGGGTGGATCATGAGGTCAGGAGATTGAGACCATCCTGGCTAACACGGTGAAACCCCGTCTCTACTAAAAAATACAAAAAACTAGCCGGGCGAGGTGGCGGGCGCCTATAGTCCCAGCTACTCGGGAGGCTGAGGCAGGAGAATGGCGTGAACCCGGGAGGCGGAGCTTGCAGTGAGCTGAGATCCGGCCACTGCACTCCAGCCTGGGTGACAGAGCGAGACTCCGTCTCAAAAAAAAAAAAAAAAAAAAGTCAAGAAACAACAGGTGCTGGAGAGGATGTGGAGAAATAGGAACACTTTTACACTGTTGGTGGGACTGTAAACTAGTTCAACCACTATGGAAGACAGTGTGGCAATTCCTCAAGGATCTAAAACTAGCAATACCATTTGACCCAGCCATCCCCTTACTGGGTGTATACCCAAAGGATTATAAGTCATGCTGCTATAAAGACACATGCACACATATGTTTATTGTGGCACTATTCACAATAGCAAAAACTTGGAACCAACCCAAATGTCCATCAATGATAGACTGGATTAAGAAAATGTGGCACATATATACCATGGAATACTATGCAGCCATAAAAAAGGATGAGTTCATGTCCTTTGTAGGGACATGGATGAAGCTGGAAACCATCATTCTCAGCAAACTATCACAAGGACAAAAAACCAAACACTGCATGTTCTCTCTCACTCATAGGTGGGAATTGAATAATGAGAACAGTTGGACACAGGAAAGGGAACATCACACAATGGGGCCTGTCATGGGGTGAGGAGAGGGGGGATGGATAGCATTAGGAGATATACCTGATGTAAATGATGAGTTAATGGGTGCAGCACACTAACATGACACATGTGTACATATGTAACAAACCTGCACATTGTGCCCATGTACCCTAGAACTTAAAGTATAATAAAAAAAAAAACTAGAGGAAGATTATTTAAATTATATACATATGCTTCCAAAGAATACAAAAGGAAGGAATATACTCCATGTCAGTGTATGAGAATAATCCTATTATTGATTCCAAAATCAAGTAATCGTAGTAAGAGAAAGCCCAATGTTATAAATGCAGACATTCCAAACAAATTATTAGTAATAACATACTACATCTATAAAGTATATTATAGATAGAATTGATGGTCAGGTACAGTGGCTCACATCTGTCATCTCAGCACTCTGGGAGGCCAAATTAGGAGGCCAGGAGTTCAAGACCAGCTTGAGCAACATACTGAGACACTGTTTCTACAAAAAAACTAAAAAATTATCTGAGCATAGTGGTGCACACCTATAGTCCTAGCTACTCAAGAGGCTGAGGCAGAAGGATCACATGAGCCCAGGAGGCTGAGGCTGCGGCAACCTATGATTGTGCCACTACACTAGGCACCAGCCTAGGCAACAGAGCAGGGCCCTGGTTCAAAAAAATAATAGAATTAATCATAACCAAATTAGGTTTATCTCAGGAATCCAAGGGTGGTTTAAAATTAGAAGTCAGCCAACTGTGGTGGTTCACACCTGTAATTCCAACACTTTGAGAGGCCAAGGCAGGAGAATTGCGTGGGCCCAGGAGTTCAAGAATGGCCTGGGCAATATAGCAAGACCTCAACTCTACAAAAAATTTAAAAATTAGCTGGGCATGGTGGTGTGTGCCTGTAGTCCCAGCTACTTGGAAAGCTGAGGAGGGAGGATTACTTGAACCCAAGAATCAGAGGTTGCAGTGAGTACGTCACTGCACTCCAGCCTGGGTGACACAGTGAGACTCTGTCTCAAAAAATAAATAAATAATAATGAAATAAAATAAAATTGGAAGTCTCAGCTGGGTGCAGTGGCTCATGCTTGCAATCCCAGCCCTTTGGGAGGCCAAGGTGGCAGGATCACTTGAAGCCAGGAGTTTGAGACCAGCCTGGGCAACACAGCAAGACCCTATCCCTACCAAAAATAACAATTAGCTGGGCATGGTGGCACATGCCCGTAGTCCCAGCTACTTGGGAGGTTGAGGCGGAAGGATTGCTTGAACCCAGGAGTTTGAGGTTGCAGTGAGCTAATTGTGCCACTGCACTCTGCGGCCCAGACAACAGGGCGAGACCCTGTCTCAAAAATAATAATATAAATAAAATTAGAAGTCTCTTGATGTAATTCATCACAGATTGGTTAAAGGATAAAAAAATGTTATCTGAACAAATGCAGTAGAAGCATTGTTAGAAACTCTTAACAGTCTAGACATAGAAGGGAATTTCCTTAACCTAATTAAGGTTATTGACCTCTAAACTACTGCAAACATCATTACAGTAAAACATTCCTTTAAAGTCAGGAACAATTTCTCCACTTGTATTCAATATTGTAGAAGTCCTACCAGGTGTGTTAATACTAGAAAAAGATGGGCACACAACTTACAAAGGAAATAACAAAATATTCATTAGTCACAGATGATGTAATTAAAATAGGCTCTAAAATCCATTGGAATTAACAGAGTTTAGTAATACAGCCAGTATAAGACCATATACAAAATCTATTCTATTTCTATACACTAGCAGTAATTTTAAAACAGCCTCCCAGAGTGCTGGGATGACACACAAGGATGACTATAACTAAAAAGCTAGACAATAACAAGCCTTGATGAGGATGTGAAGAATTTGGAACCCTCATACTTTGCATCTGGCCAGGCGTGGTGGCTCACACCTGTAATCCTAGTACTTTGGGAGGCCGAGGTGGGTGGATCGCTTGAAGTCAGGAGTTCGAGAACAGCCTGGTCAACATGGTGAAACCCCATCTCTACTAAAACTACAAAAATTAGTTGGGCATAATGGTGAGTGCTCAGGAGTCTGAGGCAGGAGGATCGCTTGAACCCGGGAGGCGGAGTTTGCAGTGAGCCGAGATCACGCCTCTGCACTGTAGCCTGGGCGACAGAGCGAGACGCCATCTCAAAAATTAAAAAAAAAAAAAAAAAAATTAGCCAGGTGTGGTGTTGCACACCTGTAATCCCAGTTACTCGGGAGGCTGAGGCACAAGAGTGGCTGGCACCCAGGAGGCAGAGGTTGCAGTGAGCCGAGTTCACATCACTGCACTCCAGCCTGGGCAATAGATCAAGACCCTATCTCAAAAACAAACAAACATTTAGGTAAACATTCTACAATCTTCCTAGGCATACATACATATTCATACACATACATATGAATATATTTTTACATAATTATTGAATCAGTCACTTTGGAAAGAAAACTTATAAAATGTTGGTTATAAAACACCAACATTTAAATCACTGTGGGGCCGGGCGCAGTGGCTCACGCCTGTAATCCCAGCACTTTGGGAGGCCGAGACGGGCGGATCACGAGGTCAGGAGATCGAGACCATCCTGGCTAACACAGTGAAACCCCGTCTCTACTAAAAATACAAAAAAAAAATAATAATAAATCACTGTGAAAATGTCTGTGCTCCAAGATAACTTACTGGTATTTTTTGTTAACAGGTAACGTTACCAATATTTTACAAGACGCAGAAGTGCATTATATTTCTCGAGAGATGTGTAATTCTGAGAGGAGTTATGGGGGAATAATTCCCAACACTTCATTTTGTGCAGGTGACGAAGATGGAGCTTTTGATACTTGCAGGGTAAGACCAAGTAATTTTCCTTTAAAATATTTTCTGAAGCCAGAAGGGAACTTGTCAAACAAGGCCTTTGATAACTTTCTGGTGGTCTTAATTATCAGGCCTAAAAATACTAAATTATTTTTTCTCCTTTTTAACTATTTCAACAATCCAAATCTTCTTGGTTCCTGATTCCATGGTTTCTACTATCATCGGGGTCAACCATAGGCAGAATTTACCTTGAATCCTTTTTTTAAATCATTGACTTTGAGATATAATTCACCTACTTAAAAGTGTACAGCTCAATTTTTTTTTTTTTAAATAGTCTCGCTTTGTCACCCATGCTGGAGTGCAGTGACACAATCTCTGTTCACTGCAACCTCTGCCTCCCAGGTTCTAGTGATTCTCATTCCTCAGCCTCCTATGTAACTGGAAAGACAGGCGCACATCACCATGCCTGGATATTTTTTTTCGTATTTTCAGTAAAGATGGGGCTTCACCTGGTTGACCAGGCTGGTCCCGAACTCCTGACCTCAAGTGATCTGCCCACCTTGGCCTCCCAAAGTGCTGGGATTACAGGCGTGAGCCTCTGCGCCCAGCCTGTTACTGTCTTTTTTTTTATAATACATCCTTGTGGGTGTGAAGTGCTATCTCATAGTGGTTTTAATTTGCATTTCCTTAATGACTAATGATGTTGAGCATTTTTGCATGTATTTATTAGCCATTCATATGGCTTCTTTATAGAATGTCTATTTGGATCCCTTCCTCATTTTTAAATTGAGTTGTCTTTTTATCACTGAATTATAAGCCATTTTCATATATTCTGGATACAAGTCCCTTACCAGATATATAATGTACATAATTTTTCTCCCATTCTGTAGACTGTTTTTTCACTTTTCTGAGGTTATCATTTGCAGCACAAATGTTAATTTTTTAAAGAAGTACAATTGATCCATTTTTTGTTTTGTCTCATGCTTTTTTACTCTTCCTTTATTCCTCTTTTCTTGTTTCCAAATCTACTAGTCCTTCACTCCTGAGTACCCCACGCTCTCACCTTTTCCTACTCATTCTCATTTCTGCAATCTAAAGTTTATCTTTCCTGTGTCCTTTTCCTTAAAAATCTTGCTGAGTAAAATAGTAAAGAATCCATTCTAATTGGATTGCATTCCTAGGCCAAACATCCTCCTCATCAAAAAATAATTATTCAATGCCTGCCTTGTATAGAGAATTGGAAACAGTTATCTCAGTGTCCTTGTTGTTTTGAGTGCATTAACAGGCCTTAGTAACAGTGTTGGGTGCACTCATAATTTTGTATAGACTATGAAAGTGACTGTCATTTATAATACTACTGAGAGGCTTTGCCATTTATGCTTATTTTGCTGCACTAGCCATTGTCAGCACTTAGAAACTTGTCATCTCTTGCAAGATGCCAGTTTACTCCTCTCCTTGGCAAGCAAACCACACACATGCCTAAAAGAATCCTTCATACATCTTAGAGTTATACTTTCCACACACAGTATTAAGCAAGAGAATATTCTAAAAATAGACAGTTTTTACAATATTTTACATACTTCCTAAATTATATTTCCCCTGAATAATTGTATTTAAAAATCCAAACAATTTGATTTATAATATTCTGGCTCAAAACTAGGCAGATGAGACGTTTATCTACCAGCTGTATGGTTCCTCCAAATACCTGGGCAAAACTGAATTCCTCCTGTTTGAGTTGGAAGATTAAGCTCAAAATCTATGATCTTTATAAGTTGGGGGTATATTGAAAACATGTATTTATATAAATGTATGTTTGATGTAAATAATTTATTCCAGAATTACTGTTGCTTGAAGAATACTAGAAGTAACAAACACTATTTTGGGACTTTTTTGACAGGGTGACAGTGGTGGACCATTAATGTGCTACTTACCAGAATATAAAAGATTTTTTGTAATGGGAATTACCAGTTACGGACATGGCTGTGGTCGAAGAGGTTTTCCTGGTATCTATATTGGGCCATACTTCTACCAAAAGTGGCTGACAGAGCACTTCTTCCATGCAAGCACTCAAGGCATACTTACTATAAATATTTCACATGGCCAGATTCTTATAGCTTTATGTTTTGTCATCTTACTAGCAACAACATAAAGACATTCTGAAGGCTTTCATATCTTTATTTTGCATTGTGTCCCTTTCTATGTTCTGCATAATGAAAATCATTTATTCTTCTAGCAATTAATTGCCTACATAGAGTTCTCATGTCAACATTTTATGGGCTATAACTATTGTGACAGATATACCACTGTAATTTTGGCACTGAATCACATGCTTCCTTGAAATATCTTGATTGTTTTATTTTATAATCATAATTCTGTATCTGGAATACTCATAGAGTTTGTACAAAATATTCAGTTAAACATATATTTTATGTGTATAAATGCCAAATAATAGTTTATAATTAAAATGAAAGCTTATTTGGTTAATCAAAATTCTTTCCTTCTTAGATTTTATTCTAAAACATGTTTGTATGATTTTTTTCGAATTATAATCTTGGTTCCAATTCTCGAAGTATATTTAGAGAAACAAGTATTTACCTGTTATTTAAATTCTAATTAAAACCATTTATTTAATATCAGCACTTCATTTCCTCTGCCAACAGAGAACTATAGTATACACACCCCCAAATAATTTACTTTTTATTTAGAAATTTATGACTTTTTTCCAGCATTATAACCTACTTTCTAAACTTTATTTTCTTGAAGCCCACGCTAAAATTTTGTATCCCATCGGGCCTCTGAATTAACTGTGAGAAGCAACTAGAAAGCGTGCCGGGTAAAAGCGGGACACCAACCTGGGATAAACTTTGTGATCACTAATGTATAAAATGAATTAAAAGAAACAAAAGAAAATGAGGGCCAGGCATGGTGGCTCTCACCTGTAATCCCAGCACTTTGGGAGCCCGAGGTGGGCAGATCACTTGAGGTCAGGAGTTCAAGACCAGCTTGGCCAACATGGTAAAACCCTATCTCTACTAACAATGCAAAAATTAGCTAGGTGTGGTGGTGCGTGCCTGTAATCCCAGCTACTTGGGAGGCTGAGGCATGAGAATTGCTTGAACCCGGGAGGTGGAGGTTGCAGTGAACCGAGATCACGCCATTGCAGCTTGAGCGACAGAGCTGGACTCTGTCCCATACACATACAAAAAAAATGAAACAAAAGAAAAGGTTGATTGAATTATATCTACTATTAGTGGACTCTCATTTCCCTTGAACTTAGGAGAATCCATTTAGCAAAGGAGAAATCGTTATTTTCTTATCCTTCTTTTTACATTCAACCCATCTAAAACCAAGTGTTCTTTGTCGTTGTTTCGTGTCAACCTAATTTCAGGATTTAAATGAAATTAAGCATGAATATCCCGTGTATTAATTTCCTTCATTATTGGTTTGACACTGGGATCATTGTTTATTGGTTTAATATTGGGTTAATGTTGTTTAACATTAACATTTAATATTGGGTTAATATTGTTAATATTGGGGTATTGTTTATTGGCTTAATATTGGGGTCATCTATCCCACTCAAGGAATAGATGACTATGCTTTTTATAGACTAAGCAACACTGATGGAATGTTGGTTGTTCTTTCTTGAAAGAGCTCCTAGCTTATCCATCAACAAGGTCTCATAGATGGTAATGCTTATATAGCAATTAACATGGTGCACTAGTCTTTTCCTATTTATATTACCTGAATATCACTCAGATTCGCTCGATAGCTCTGAATGTTAATAAAAAGAAATTTTTCTAAAATGTACTGCCAGTATTAGAGGAGAAACCTTTGCTTTTCACTTTAAAGGCATCTTCTAATTACTCTTCAGGTTTACGTTTCTTATCTATGTATTTATTTTGGAGGTGGAGTCTCTCCATTGCCCAGGCTAGAGTGCAATGGCACAATCATTGCTCCCTGAAGCTTCAGTCTCCTGGGTTCAAGCAACCCTCCCACCCCAGCCTCCTGCTTAATGAGACTACAGGCGCACCCCACCACATCCACCCCAGCCTCCTGCACAGCTGAGACTACAGGCGCACCCCACCACATCCAACTGTTTTGTAGTTTTTGTAGAGACAGGGTTTTACCATGTTGTCTAAGCGGGTCTTGAACTCCTGGACTCAAGTGATCTGCCCACCTCAGCCTTCCAAAGTACTAGGATTACAGGGGTGAGCCACCACTCCCAGCCTAGGTTTACAATTCTATTCTTTTTTTTTTTTTTCCTTCTTTTAATTCTAATCTCATGACAGATTAGGTTACATTTCTGATCAGGTGAGACCTACTATCTGCTATTTATCTTTTTGCCCAGCTTAGTTTACTATGTCAGCCAGCTGGAATCCAATTATAAAGTTTCTCTCTATTACAAGAAACTATCAGAGTATAAACTCTGGAAATCTAAGATAGACTTTGTTTCAACTTTTGTTTTAACATTGTGTCTTTTTTTTTTTTTTTTTTTAAGAGGCTCTGTCACTCAGGCTGCCTAGAGTGCTGTGGCATGATCATAGCTCACTCCTGGGCTCAAGCAGTCCTCTGGCCTCAGCCTCCCAAGTAGCTAGGACTATAGGGCCCAGACCACCATGCTCAACTAATATTTAAATTTTTCATAGAGATGGAGTCTCACTATATTGACCAAGCTGGTCTTAAACTCCGGGCCTCCAGCCATCCTCCCACCTCAGCCTCCCAAGATTCTGGAATAACACACGTGCACCAACTTGCCTGGCCTTTGTTTCCATTTTTACTCTGTTATTTAGTATCTATAAAAGTTTAGATGATTTTTTTTTTTTTTTGAGACGGAGTCTCACGCTGTTGCCCAGGCTGGAGTGCAGTGGCGCGATCTCGGCTCACTGCAAGCTCCGCCTCCCGGGTTCCCGCCATTCTCCTGCCTCAGCCTCCTGAGTAGCTGGGACTACAGGCGCCCGCCACCGCGCCCGGCTAATTTTTTGTATTTTTAGTAGAGACGGGGTTTCACTGTGGTCTCGATCTCCTGACCTTGTGATCCGCCCGCCTCGGCCTCCCAAAGTGCTGGGATTACAGGCTTGAGCCACCGCGCCCGGCCTAGATGATTATTAATACCATTTACAACATTGTTGTGATGATTACAAAAGTTGAGTATATGACGTTCTTAACATTTGAAAGATGCAGTAACTGGTTTCTATTATTATATTAATATCCCATCCATCATTCACACACTCTTTCTCATTACATAGATCATTATCCTATTGGATGTCTCATATATCATCCCTCAAAATTACTAAAACAAAGGATCCTTTTCTGCTTATAAATTCACATTATAAAATACGCTATTTTTAAAAAATAATTTTTATAATTCCCCAAATATGATATCCTTATTATTTAAACTGCGAAACGGCCAAGCATGGTGGCTCATGCCTATAATCCCAGCACTTTGGGAGGCCAAGGCAAGCAGACGGCTTGAGCCCAGGAGTTTGAGACTCCTGGGTGAAACCTCATCTCTACAAAAAATGCAAAAATTAGTCAGGCATGGTGGCATGCGCCTATAGTCCTATCTACCTGGGAGGCTGAGGTAGGAGAATCACCTGAGCCCAGGAGGTCAAGGCTGCAGTGAGCCGTGATCACACCACTAAGCTCCAGCCTGGGCAACAGAGTGAGAAACTGTCTCAAAAATAAATAAATACATACATACACACATAAATACATAAATAAAATTGAGAAAGCACAGACAAGTAGAAAGAAAATGATCAGCTGAGTGTGGTGGCTCACACCTGTAATCCTTGGGAAGCTGAGGTGGGGGCAGATTGCTTGAGCCCAGGAGTTCAAGACCAGCCTGGGAAACATGGCAAAATCCCATCTCTAGAAAAAGAATTTAAAAATTAGCCGGGTGTGGTGGTATGCCTGTAGTCCCAGTTACTGGGGAGGCTAAGGTGGGAGGAGGCTTGAGCCCAGGAGGTAGAGGTTGCAGTGAGCTGAGATCACGCCACTGCACTCCAGCCTGGGTGACAGAGCCAGACCCTGTCTCAGAAAAGAAATGAAAAGAAAATCATCTATAACCCTATTATGTAAAGACAGCTGCCATGAAATCCTACCTTTTTAAGTTAATATAATGGGTATTTTTACAAAATTTTATTAAACATTATTTTACCCCAACTATTTTGAAAAATTTCAAACCTATTGAAAGTTGAAAAATAGTACTATGATTACATGTACATACTTTACCTTTTTCCCCCAAATATTAACATTTTGCCCTGTTTACACTCATGCTCTCTCTCCAAACACAAACACACACAGACTTACACAGACTTATACACACAGAAACTCTCTCTCTTTTGTTTTCTGGTTGAAAAATTTGAAAGTAAATTGCTGGCATCATGTTACTTCATCTCTAATACTTCAGCATGTATCTTGTAAGAACAATAACCTAATCACACCACCATCATTACACCAAATAAATTTAACACAGATTTGTTCTTTTTTTTTTTTGAGTCTCGCTCTTTCCCCCAGGCTGGAGTCCAGTGGCGCGATCTCGGCTCACTGCAACCTCCGCTCCCAGGTTCACGCCATTCTCCTGCCTCAGCCTCCTGAGTAACTGGCGTCCACCACCACGACCGGCTAATTTTGTTTGTATTTTTAGTAGAGACGGGGTTTCACTGTGTTAGCCAGGATGGTCTCGATCTCCTGACCTCGTGATCTGCCCACCTCGGCCTCCCAAAGTGCTGGGATTACAGGCATGAGCCACCACGCCCGGTCAGATTTGCTCTATTTTATAAATTGTACACTCATTTCTTTGGTTTATTAATCTATTGCATAGATATTCCATTATTTTATATTGTTTCATTCTGATTATAAAAGTACAGTATATGTTCACTGTAAAGAAAAAGCACAACTATCACAGAAACTATTTGGGCTGCTATAACAAAATATAACAAACTGGCGGCTTATAAACAACAGAAATTTATTTCTCACAGTTCTGGAAGCTGGGCAAGGCACCAGCTGTTTCGGTATCTTCTGAGGTCCCACTTCCACCTTCACAGAAGGCATCTTCAAACTGTCCTCACATGCAAAAGGGGCCAGGCCACTCTCTGGGGCCACTTTATAAAGCAACACTAATCCCATTCAGGAGGGCTCCATTCTCATAGTCAAATCACCTCCCTTACATTACATTGATGATTAGCTTTCCAACATGAATTTTAGGTGGCCACAAACATTCAAATCATCGTACTTTTTAAGTAAAATTTTAGGAATTAAGTCAAAACCACAGACTGAACATGTTCTAACCACCTTCCTGTTCCACATTCCTAAGATGAGAGTAATTATATTTATTTTAAAATAAGTAATAGTATTTCCTAAATCTGTCCACTGGAAAGGCCTAGATGCAATGAACAACCAATAATAACACGTACCCTAGCACCCAGATTTTAGTCTCTCAACGTCATTCCCCTATAAAAGGATCCAAGGCTCCTTAGAGATATGAATGATTTCAGGTCTGGGGCAGGAAA